GAAACACACTGCTGCATCGTGTGATGTTCATCGGCTGCTCAGGCTGTTTAAGACCAACTAAGACAAGACACCACTGTTGTAAATAACAGCTTTTACACACAAGGCCACAACTGTTAAGAGGTTTAACATTTTGGCAAACTGCACTTTTATTTTTTTTGAGGCCAATAAAAGGAGATTGCATAGTTGTTGAAATAGCTCCAATACCTGAGTTACTGTTTCTGTTTGTTTCTATTAAAACTCTTTTTAGAGGCTATAACTGGTTTGAAATGATATTATTATACTACTCTGAACCACTGACTCTGCTATCTCTGTGGTTATTAATCGAACTAATATGAAAAAGCTGTTACACTTCATCTCCTCTTTGATGGAGACGTGTTGTGTATTTGCACTGTATCTGGTTTATTTTGTGCACGAGCAAAGTCATACTTGAAAACTTTTCAAATGAGGACGCTATCTTGTACGACTGATTGGGTGGAAATGTTTTTAATGCTGTGCTTAATCTATAAAAGGGCATTGGATTAGACTCTGTGATTTTGCACTGAATATAAGGAAACCACTTGTGTTTATAAAGGAAAATACGCTTATTATGAAATGCTGTTTAGTTCAAAGTGATGCCTTTGCTACCATTGTCATTCTTTGCCTCTGAATAATTTGTATCCTGATGTTTACAAAAGTGAGAAGTTGAAGCTTTTATGGATGTGTATGATATTTAAAATCCTGTGTGTTTATCTGTGTGTTACACTGTTTGACTGATCAGACCAGGGTAGATGGGCAACACTGTAAGGTTTAGCATAGATAGAGCCAATTATCACAAGAAAGAAAACATCATTTCAATTAGATTGTACAAAAAACGGTCGCACTGTGACACAACAGAGATGAGGGAACCTTTACTTGTTTTGTAATTTTTCCAGTGAGACTTTACAATTTTTCAAACTTAGCATTAAAAAGACACAATTTCCTGTATGAAATTACAACAATACAAAGTCAACAGAAGGCCTTTACTCGGACGTCTAAATCGGTTGCCTCTTGTCGGGGTGATCCGAGACAAAATAGTAACAAGTTATATTTGAAAAAGTGAAAATATGAAAACAACAACAAGCCGTATTTTAAGCTGAAACAACTTACTTTTTTCTGCAAACAATGCTTACCACATCGTGACAGAAAATATTTAAATTCCTAGTTCATGGTTTTGTTTGCTAGAAATTGGATAAACTGCCATTAGCTGTTGTGACTTAAATGGTTATCATTACCTCAAAAGTTGTCATCGTTATGAAAGCTTTTAGCCAGCTAACAGGAAAATCCAGCCTTTTCCATAATGTAACTGATTAAACAGAAAGTCATAAAGAGACAGTTCACTACGTTTATGGGACTAGCAACATTTATTTTTATTATAACAACTTTAAGCACTTAAACCGTCACCTTTACATTAGAAAAAAACACTACTACTATCTTAATATACATAAAAGAAACTGTCATACTGTCCACTTTGTCTGCACACAATGTATTATTTATATTCTTGTTTCTATAATTATTACATACACAACCCAATTTCTGAAAAAGTTGGGACACTGAAATGTAAATAAAAACAGAATGTGACTATTGTCAAAACATTGAAACTCCATATTTTATTGAACAAAGAACAACAACATATCAAATGTTGTAAAATGAGAAGTGTCATTGTTCATTGGAAAAAACTGTAATAAAGGTAATATTGCCTTACTTAAAAGCCCATGTATCCTGGTCTACAGACTGAGTGGGTCCTGCACCCTGGCAGAATTCAGGACCCTTCACCTCCGTCCACTGTAAGGGGTCCAAACATCCCCCTGCAGGACAGTATATACTCCTGTACTCTCTGTGAAAACCTCAGAACACTTTCAGTGCCTCTGAACAATGTTGCCAATATTACTGACTGAGTGGGTGCCTAGACGACTGATGTACCAATTTCTGAGTCTGTGTGTGTGTGTGTGTGTGTGTGTGTGTGTGTGTGTGTTTTCTGACAGATGAATAAACGTGCAGATGATATTAATACCCGAGCTGAGTTGATGATTATTTCAGTGAATGTGCGTCTGATTTGCTCTCTTCCGAGGCTCGGCTCGTATACCGCTCCGAGGGAAATAACTGTTCTGTTAGCTGACGCTGTTATTGGCTCACAGGGAGAAGACGCCCTACATAGCCTAGTTTCCTGCGCACTGATAGCCAGGAATTACTCATTATTCTTCAAATTGCTCCTGCCAAGAAAGCTGTTCCCGTGCCCCTGGTAGTTTGTTTGTTTGCCTGTCAGCAGGATGCATCACAATGCTCATGAACAGATTGCCTGAAATGTGTTGTTCTGGCCTCAGGTTTCTGTTAGTTTTAAGTGAGGCTCCATAAACTTGGGTTTCTGCCACTGGATGGCTCAATTTTATTTGCAACAAAGAAATGGAGCCAGTAGTCATGAGTATGGAGAACCAGCACATAAGGGCACAGTTTTTAATGACTGCATGTAGGTGTTGTAGTCTTCTAGTTATTGTAAGTGGTCGGGCAAATTAGTCCCCGTGGCCATCCCACGCAAACCACAGAGGCATAATTGTGCAGCTGCTGTAAGAGGTACAACATTTTTAGTCTCAGATCTGCTTTACTTTATTATCAGGGGCACATTTAAGGTATTATATATAAACATAAGCTACCATTAATACTTCATATTACATGGTACCTCTGCATTAATAACTCCATTGCACCATTTTATGTCCTTTCATGCTGCAGGAACAATCGCTGCTGCTTTTTAAACAAGATCTGTTCATTCAGAGGTTCCTTTGCTTTCATTATTGAGACATGACCGGTTTTTTATTTACACATAGTTTCAGGCGTCAGTTTAATTCAGCTACCCTCTTAAGTCACTAAGGACAAGAATGTCCACTTCCAAAAAACTGCTATAAAAATAGAGCAGATTGATATTTTTTTCTACTTTTTTCTGCATAAATCTCTTAAACAACTTCAGCCCTGCTCAAAACGATCAAATATTGAATAGTTATCAGGAATTTAACCCTTTAAATGCCAGTTTGATTACGTGATTCTTACATGTTTTTGTCTTAAGAGGGTAGTAAACATGTTTCACTGTGTTCTATTGATCTATTAAAAAAAAAAAAAAATTGCATTCCAAAATGTGTCAAGAGAAAGTCTTTCTTACAAAATGATGGCCAGATGAAGAGGAAACATTTTCCCAAATGGACAGAAATGTCCATAATGATGCATGAGGGTTAAGAATTTGTGTCAAACTGACATTTTGAGTACAAGATTGACAGCTGTCTCAATCACAACATAAACATAAACGATTACTGTAAGGATGACTGAACACATATCACTCTAGGCTTTTATTTGTCTTTGATTTGTCAACAGACAAAATGGACAAAAATCTTATTAGTTACACTGTGAAATCAGTGTTGAAATGAATGTAAATGGACAGAAAAGAACAATGCAGTTGCTCAACCATATTTCTTTGAAGTTTGTCTATAAGAGGGGAAAGGTAGGGTAAAACTGCAGCACCAAATACATAAATAAAATATCAAGTTAATTACCTAAGGCAGTGGTTTATATCATTCAAATGCAATATGTGCTAATTTTGAACTCCTTTTTTTGTTAATATATTTTTTTTACTGCGGTTTTCTTCCTTTTTTAAAAACTGATTCTCTTCTCATGAGGCCACAAGTTCATCATCTTTAAATATTCAGCCTTCTGGCCCATGTATTTGGATTTGGCTCAAGCTAAAGGGAACTCTAACATCGGGTGATAATTTAAAAACTGCCCATAGCTCAGACAGCCCACTTTCTGAAATCTCAGTGGTATAAAAAAAAAAAAAAAATTACAACATGGACCAAAATTCAAATTGTCTGACAGACTGTTATCCTGAAAACAAGCACCAATATTTCACAAGGAGTCTAAAAAAATGTCCCTTTGCTTGAAACGGCCCCTCCAAGAATTCAGCACCATGGACAGGTCCAGCAGACAAGAAGAGAGTTTATCTGTGGCAGTGAAGCTTTGTTTTATTTGTCTGTGGGACGATTGGGGTTTTGGACTAATAGGTTTAATTGTTTTCCAGATAACTGGCTTTCACACTCAAAATGGCTTTTGGTCCATTTGGAAAAATAATTAGACAAATGAAGATATTTGAATAAAAGGCTGTCAGAACAATCGCGTCGCATCACTAATTCTCTGCAGGATGAATGAGCGTCCCCTCTTCCATTGTTCTATTGTTTATTGTCATTTAATACAATTGTTTGAGAAATATCAATACTCTCCACATTCACTATCAGCAAAAGAATACCCGTGTGATGTTCTTTCTTTTAACCCCATTAAGACATGTCCATTGTTTTTATTGCTGTTGTTTAAGGGTTCTTTTCCTTTCTGGATGATATCGTTGCTGGGATGTCTTTCCTCAATATCATCCTTTTTGGTCCTTTTTCTTGGCGCTGCTAGAGACTTTGGGTCAATGAGACAAACAGTTTTTTAGGCATTTATGAAAAAGTGATGGCTTCTATGTGGAAACTGGCTTTTTCCTAGAAGAAATGCGGAAACACACAGACACACACACACACACACACACGCACACACACTCAAAGAGGAGTATGTTTTGGCGCAACACAAAAGAGGGCTGCAGATTTCCAATCATGGATAGCCCGGGGACGTGTAACAGTAGTCTTTGTTCTACTGTTTCTGACAGAACAGTGGAGGAAGGAGAGGAAACATTTCAAAATCATGAAGCTAATCACAGAATAGATGCATACGCCTATTAACTACCTGCAGGGTGCCCTTTGAAAGGAATTAAACCTCAATGCAGTACGCCGTCCTCTCTGGAGAAAATTGGCTGAATATGTCTCGATGAAATGTCAAAGTACCAGCACTTGAAGCTAAAAGCAGCAGTCACATATACTTTACCCTTTTCTTTTTTTCTAAAATGTTAAATTACCATCAAACAAATCGTATGACAGAAGCTGTTTTTTTGGAAGAAAAAATGTGCAAGTCACCATGGTTACAGTCCCCAAAGGAGTTTAATGAATATGGTCGTCTTTACAATGTATTCACAATACAGTCATTTAACTTTACAGCCAAATATTGTCTCATAGCTTTCTAAATAATATCAGTACTGTAGGAAACTATTGCACTTCTTAATTCTTGAAGGGCAAGTAAATTGTGAATTACATATTAAAAATCATCTTTTATAAATGTATCGACATCGAAGCACGTTTAAAGATACAGCGACTTTCTGCGTACGGCTACTGCGACATTTAATCTCTTAAAGCTCCTGTAAGGAACTTAAGGTTTGTGATGATTTTGGCGCCCCCCTATGGACAAAGCTGTACAATTTATCTCTTTGCTGATCTTGTCCTTTACATGTTTAAGTGGTGTTTTTTAATGTATTCTTGTCCTTATTTCTTTGAGTATTTTTGCAACATACTCAGGTTTCTTTTTTAGCGTTATCAAGGGATGTTTTTGTTTCAAAACGTTTGCTTGAAAAAACAAGCCTTTTGAAGACAACCCAACAATTTTGAGAACTATTTCCAGGTTTTACATAGCAAAGGATTAACCAATCAATCAAATACATAGGTTGAGTATTAAAATATTAAAACAGCTCCTTCAGAAACCCTCATAACACCAAGAGGGAACGAGAAGCTTTAACATGAACACTTTGACTTGGTTTGAAGAAAAAAAAAAGGCACAATAAGGTTGTTTTCTGTCCTAGATTATTCATCTGCATCCAAAGCTGCAAACATGCATCTCACACACACATTTCATTTTTATGTCACGATTATTAAATTGTGAACGATAAAGCCGTTTGATGCAAAGTGTATTTCTTATTAAAAACCAAACTGAGCTACAGGAGAGCGTGACCAAGCTGTTTTCTCATTCTTGTTGTTTAGCACCCTCTGCTGGTCACAAAACATTATGACAACTTGGGTGGCTGACTGCAAGGTCCCATTAGAAAATCACTCATAATGAAACGCATCCATTGTTTAAAACATATTTTAGTTTGCTTGTCTGTAAAAAAACAATAGCAAAACTACTTTTTTATGTCCATAGTGTTGAGGTGTTTTATTCCATGGTTTCTTGTTATCTGCTGTGAAGTAGAGTGTTTTGGTAAAAGTGCACTTCAAGGCCAAACAAATCTGAAAACAGCGAAATAAGTAAACATTTTGAACAATCATTCCCTGTGTGGCTGGTGGAAAAAGCAGAAGGATTATAGTAGAATACTACAATCGGGACTTTCACTGTAGTGTGAACCAATACTCTGCAGTCTGGCGAGGCAGACCCAGCAGAACCTCTGCCCACACTGAGAGCACGTCATCATGTTACATCCGCCTTGCTTCTACAACATAAAACACAACATCATATTAGTCAGTAAAAAGTGCTTTTTAATCCAGTGAGGACTTTACATATTAGTAAGGGTGAAGTCATACCTCTATCTTGCAGAAGCAGTGAGGGCAGTTCTTGCTATTGCCACAGATCCACTGCTCACTCAGACCCTCCTCCAGAGTGAAGAGCAATCTGCTGCGGCCATATCTGCTCTCCAGGAGCTTCTTCCTCTGCTTACTGCCAGTGGCATAGTCCTTCCACAGAGCCTTCAATCCCTCTGAAACACACACACACACATATAGATCACTGCTTTAGTAGCACATCTGCATTCACACAACCTGCACATTCAACCTCTGATTCAGACTGTAATCAAATGCAGAACAGAGCATATTACAATGAGCCTGTTATCTACAGATGTGCCAAGATATTAACAAGTCGTGTTTTCTCTGAACAATATAACCGGAATTATAATACTAAAGATGAAATGATAATTTATTGTTAATAAAGTCCTTCATAACTCTCCATTAAGACAGTTGATTATCTGTTGAACGCTATCTTGTTGTAATCTCGTTGGTCACTACTTACTTTACTTTTTTAATACTTTTATACTTTGTCTATTTATGTTTTATATTTATATATACTTTTTATTTTTATTAATATTATTGTTTTTTTTATCCTTTAATCAATTCTATTTCTTTTACTGCTCTTACCTTCTTATTGCTGTTATCTTTTGATTTGCTTTTATCTCTTTTAGTTTCTTACATCTTTTTAAATCTTTGGTTCCTCTTGGTCTCAGCTCGTGTTGTTGGGTTCTTGTGTTGCCTGGGTTCTGATGATGGTTCTTGTGATGGTCGGCTTATATATGTCTGTTGGGTATCGTGCACTTTGTGTTCTTTTCTGTTGAATTGTATTTAATTATTTTTAGTATTTTGTATTTGTTATGTTCTTGCTGTTGTTTATGTTCTTCTGTGTTTGCTTTAGTTTGCTTTGTTCTTGCTGTTTGTCAAAGCACTTTGTAAACCTGTGTTTTTAAAAGGTGCTATATAAATAAAGTTATTATTATTATTATTATTATTATTATTATTAGTAATATTTTATATTTTACTCAAAAGAGATGGAATGAAGTGTTACATCTTTAAAATCTGACACATTTACGCAAGATTTGAACAAGAAGTTCATGTAATATCATCACATTGAAATGTAAAATACTTTTTATTTTAAGTAAACCTAAGTTCAGTTGAGGGATAATTATTGCCTAGTCGGTAGCATATAGGCGCTCCATGTACTCAGGGTGCAGTCGTCGTCACACTGGTCGAAGGAAAGACTCTGATCCACTCTCTCTCTTCTTACATTTTATGTCATTTTAAATAAAGCTCAATCAATGATCATACTTTTGTTTTTTTTCACTGACACTCAATTTGCATTGCTCTCAATATTGTGAAGTAAAACAGGTTGTCTTGTTTCTAAGAAAATAACAACAAAACCCAGGTTGTTTATGTTTTTTTATGCCTTACAGAAGTAGAAAAATGCAGAATTGTAAATGTAACACTGCAAGAGTCACTGGACAGTTCCAAGATCTCCAGGTCCCATTATTGATTTAATGATTGATACAAAAGACAAAACAAACAAACTGAACACAGACACACATGCGAACGCTTTTGTAGCCTACCTATTGAGTGTGGCAGGGGTGTGTTAAGGTGATGTGTTTCTTCTGTCTTTGTGTTCCTCTGCTCCTGACAGTTCTTCGTTCCATGATAGGTCTTTCTGCAGGCGACACAGAAGGCATATTTGCAAACAGAGCACACCGCCGCCCTGCTGGACTTCTCCAGAATGACGGCTGCGGCACAGGTACGCCGAGGACAGTACGTCACATCTAAGAGGAGGGACAACATGTGTTTTTATTTTTATTTTGCATTTATTAGTAGTTGTTAAAGATGATCTCTTATGTACAGTCGTTCTTGTATGTGCTCAGTTTTAAAACGTGAGGGGAACAAACCAGACATGGAGTCCAGAGTCTTCTGCAGCAGGAGACGATCATAACGGCTGAACAGCTCCTCCCCGACCAAACTCTTCACCTACCAACACATTTAAAAACACACGAATTCAAAAACAATGAATTCAAGTGGTTTATATCGGCAATAAATGGAAGTTTCTTTTTTTGTATCCTCATCCAGAATAAGTAACACAATATGTGTTGTAAATACAAAAAGCAGGTCTGGACCAAACTATTTGTTTTATTGTTTACAGAGACCCAACGTTAATCCACCATGGAAACATTTAACAAGTAACAAGACAAAACTTCCTCTAACAGGCAGCTCGAGCAGAACCAGACTCATGTTGAAGCCATCTGTCGGGCTTAGAGGGAAAAAAAAGGATAGAGGAAGAGACGGAAAGAAAGCGACAGAGACAAACAAACAGAGCAACAACAACAGCTAATACAGATGCGAGGTTAAAGGGTTAATACTTTAAAATCATAACATAATTAAAATCAGAGAGAAGCCCTTCAATAAGATCTTGTGTCTGCCAGAGAGGAGATACAGACAGCTCAGGACCGTACCTGTGCAGGTGTAGGGGTTGCAGGACAGTCTGCATTAGGACAGGTGACACCACGGACGTTCCCCTCAGTTATCTGGAGCTTACAGAACTCGCTGAGACAGCCCCGGCAGAAGATGTGGTCACACTCGAGAAGCTGAACACACTCTGAACCGAGCCAGCCAACGAAACAGATATCACAGTCAAAGACGGTGGTGGAAAACTCTTTCTGTTTCTGGGTGGCGTTGTAGATCAAGAGCTGGGACAGGAGGGCTTGTGATGGAGTCAGGGAGAGACCAGAGGGGGTTTGTCCAGTTTGATCCAGTGGGTGTGGAGAGCTAGAAGAGGGAAATGATGAGGCTGAAGAATCGCCTCCAGTGAAGATGTCTTCCTGGTTACTTTGATCAGACTGAGCAAATGGAAGATGCTCTGAGACCGCCTTAAATTCTGAGTTTTCAGATGTCTGGTCAGCCTCCCTGTCATCAGAGGAATCTTTATCAGAATCAGTTAAAGTGTTTTGGATCAGAGGCTCCTCATTAGAGTCTGAGTTTAGATCAGTCTGCCTGACTTTGCTGAGGTGTGATGTTGAGTTATTTTGTCCTGATTCCTCAGCTACCTGACAATCTTTGCTGCTCTTGTCTAATGTTGAAGGATTTAGACTTTCAGCAAAGTTCCCTGTTGGACGCTCAGCTCTGGAGGATGTTGCAGAGAGGTCCTGTGCGATGCTTTGCTCGTGTGATGGAAGCTCCAGCAGAGAGTGGACGTCCAGGAACTTGAGTGCATCCTCTTTAAGAAACTGTATCCAGGTGAAGAGCACCACAGCGCCCCCAGTGGCCTGATAGAGATCGATGAGCTGAGCAGTTAATGAAGGGATCTGTGGGAAAAAAAGAAGATAAAGCGTACACTCTGATATAATCTTTATTGACCCTCTGACATCTGGCTCTGTCTGTTGTAAACCTGTGTAGTAAATGTCAGAGGTAGTTTTTTGACTCACATTACCTGTGTGTGTGTCAGCCAGCTGCAGGTGAGGGAGAAAGAGGGAGGGGAGGAGGATGGGTAGTCCTCAGGAAGTTCAAAGGTCAGGCACAGAGGAGGGAGGTATGATATCTCATACTGCCTCAGTGTTTCACCTGAGGAGTAAACAAACCAGATAATGTTACACATGTTAAAGAAGCTATTCTGATTTCAACAGCTGGATGTGGACAATGAACTCATCCATATAAACCTCCAATTTCAAGCTATTGAAATATCATCTACTTTAATCTCCAACTTACAGAGAGGAAAACATCATGTTTAATTAGTTACATATATTTGAATGCTACTGTTCGCCCACTACTTATTTTGCACACCTAGTTGTTAGAAGAAAGATCCATTAAATACACATTTCCCCTCAAACTGTACACAGGGACCTCATAAACTCACAACAACCAAAGTCTGCAGGGGTAAAATCTTTGGTGTTTACCCAAATAATTGCAAACCATGGAAGACGATTGGTGTTTTAATTTTTTTACTTTCTTCATAAATCATCCCAGGACCCATGAGACTGTGATCCTTTGGAGGAAATTAAAACTAGCTCCAGCTACAATAAGATACCGATGCACCACTATTAATCTGATAATGAAATATGAGTATTGGTTATGTAATAGTAATTAGTAGCCTACTGCAAAGTACCCTGTGTGAAGTGTTCTTACTAATAACAACTTTATAATGACTGTGTACCTTTACCTAAAGAATGGAACTGATTACTTTTTTCATGATTAGACACTTTTGTTCGTGTCAAACACTGTTTTACCTTCTTTTAAAACCACCGTGAAGTCTCCCGGCAGCTCGACAGACACTCGGATTTCTCCGGCAAACTTCGACTCATCCCGGACGAATTCATCCGAATCAAAGATACTGTGGAGAGCGAGCAGTTCGTCTTCCTGTTCCTCTCTGTCCGCAGTCATACCGTCCAGTCCCGACAGAAACTCACTTCACCTCCTCCTCGTACTGATCGTTAAGATGTTTCTTCAAACAAATAAAGTAGAATAGTTTCTTTTATTCCCGCTGGAGGTGAGTTTGGTTGACACTTCCGTGATTCTGTCAGATGAGAGTCTCTGGTCGGTAACCTCCTCCCGGTGTGGCTGCCCGTCCCTCCGCTGACTCATCTGTTTATGATGCAATGTTCAGGGCTCAGCAGAAACACCAGCCTGCAGTGTTTTATTTTACAGGCTACAGATAAACAAAAGTCATGGGCCATTCACGGTAACCATGTAAAACTCACCTTGCTTTAATGACAGAAATTAAATATATGAGTGTTGGCTAGATTAACTTAGTGCAATTTTGTAGTAGGCTACTTGTAAGCCTACTTTACAATAGGCTGCCTACCAAACATAATTAGGCTATTCTATTATTATTATTTTTTTTACAATATGTTTATTGAGTTTTAAACATTTTTCCAAGACACACAATTACAATTAAATAAATTCTATGGAAAAAAAGAAGAAAAAAGATATACACATACACATTTATAAAATAAGGGGGGGAAGTGAAATATAATAATAATAAAAAATAAAAACAACTTTAATGACAAAATGTTGCAAAATTATTACTGTCTGTATTAAATAAAAATAACCAAATGGAGTACATTGCCATGGATGATTTGTTAATCACAAATATTCTGCCCAAGAACAGTTTCTGCAAAAATGACCATAATTACAGACATTACCAACTCTTTACCAACTCAAAATATGTGACAGATCTTTATCCTGAAGAAAATGAATATACAGGCCCCAGATAAACAAATAATTCTTGTTTGTGTATATGAATATATAAGTGTATATCTTATCTTTTCCAGAGCCAAGTTATTCTACTTTTTACTCAAATTACTCAAAGTGTCCAGCAGAGGATAAACTGCCTTTGTTATGAATAGTTACATGTAGGCTACTACTCTTGAATATTTAGTGCATACTAGCCAATGAGAGATAGAGTAGGGAGGGTCATCCCTTCAACTTCCTAAAAATTGCAGCATACTGGTGAAGATTGTCAATCAATCATTGGTGTGAATCAGAGGAGATCTAGAAGTGGTTTACTCTATGCAGACTGAAAAATAAGTTGGTATACCTGCGTATAACCTGCACAACACCACTGGCTATTTGACGATTGTGGTTAAAAGTCACTTTTCTGATGGAGATTTTCCAGCTTAAAGGCTTTATATGTGATTTTTTGATCCAGCAGATGTCGCCCTTGAGCACCAGCATGAAACCAAAACAACTGGCGCTGCATTGTTCTGTTAGCATGCTAATGCTAGCGATCTTTATTATGCTGGTATCTTCACACTGCATGTAAATTTACCTGAAATGAGCGTGATCTAGAAACACAGTTAAGCAGTGAGTACAGTATGTTATTCTTCTTTTCTCTAGTCCCTCAATTAAACAACTTTTATACACGAGGGGAGGAGTCAGCCGGCCGTCCCGACGATGTAAACAAAGTGAAGATAGGACTCTGAAAACTCTGAAAACATCACAGACAGTGGGACTCGGGTGTTACACCCATTGTAGACAGTCATGACTCACAGAGTTATTTTCAGAGGATATACTTGATTTATATTATATTTAAGAGTGAAAAATCACATATAAAGACTTTAAAACATATGATAAATTAAGAGACCGTTCATAATTAGTTTAAACTTGCTCAACCTAAAGCTACATCAGCAAAATGATGGACAGAGCTGGAAAAAGTGTTCAAAGAGAGAGTGAGGCGCCTTATAGGCTAATTGTATTCCTCTTTTTGGACTACAGATGTTTTACAATTTTGGGTTTAATTTTGTGTGGGGATATAGCTGCTGTCAAAACAATCAGCTTTTGGTCCATTGGGATGTCAGAACAATGGCCTTATATCAGTAATTCTCTGTAGGATCAACTTTAAGAAATCCCCCCTCTCTATTTGTCAAACTTTGTTTTGCCATTCGACAGTTATCAGAAAAATATTGATTACAGCCACAGTTAACAAACACAGGATTAGAGCTGTATTATGTGATATATTCTTTTTAACATAATTTTAACTTTCATCGCCTCTTCTTTTTTGCTATGGTGGAATTATCATTGTGCTTATGTGCATTAAAATATTATTTTCTGTTTGCCCTTTTCCTTTATTTTTCTAATTTTCATCGAACAATCGGCATCAATGAGGCTTTACAACCAACAACAATTTGTGGGTTTTTTTGCGAGGACAAAGAACATAGAAACAGAATTAAAGCAAACATAAACAACAGTACTTCTTCTGTTACAAAACTTTAATAGAAATAAAGAAAACAATAAAGTTGAAAAGTTAATTGTAAAATATATTAAATATGTACAAACAGTGTCAAGTAAAAACCACAAAGCCACTTTCATTACAGTCCCATGTGAAGTTTATTTAACCTTTTATACGTCACAATGTATTCATATTTTATATTAAGATAGTTTTAAAACCCACTTTGGTCTAATAACATTCTTTATAACAATACAATGGTAAAGGTACATTGCACAGATAAAACTCCTGAAGAGCACGCTGTAAGTAAGATTTATTTTTAACAAAAGTTTTCATATGCATCTAAATGTCAGACAGTTCAGTGACTCTGCTGCTTTAACAAATGATTGCTTTATTATTTAATAATTCAACAGAATCCGTATACATCTCAGCAGATAATGTAAAATATATCTTGTAGATAGAGTTAATATGTTTGTATTTCAGAAAGTTTGCTTGACAAAACAAGCCGTTTGAAGACAGCAGCACAGACTCAGGGAACTTCTGATGGACATTCTTACACTTTTTACTGATTTAAGGGAACAAAGAATTAACAAATTCATCAAATGAATATCAGGTAGCTGAGTCAAAAAGAACCATAATCGACTGCTAGGTTTTGGTATAAAAGCTCTGACTTTACAAAATAAAACACACTTTGCAATATTCTCTTATACTGTAGATGATTCATCATCCAGAGCTGCACACATGCATATTACACATATTTCATATTGTTTGTTTTTTATATAGTGGAAAAATTAAAGGATGTTTGAAATGAAAGAAAACTGAATTTCTTCACACAAAAAAAAGAGGATATGGGGCGCTGGTGGTGCAGTGGTTAGAGCGTGCGCCCCATGTACAGCCTGTACAGGAGGCTGTAGTCCTCCAAGCGGGTGGCCCAGGTTCCTTTCCTGCATGTCATTCCCCACTCTCTCTCTCTCCCTAATTTCTGACTCTATCCACTGTCCCATCGCTACAATTAAAGGCACAAAAAGCCCAAAAATAAATATTTAGAAAAAAAAGAAAAAGAGGATATCTTAAAGTAACCGCAGAGTGTGACCAAGCTTGTTATTTAGCACCCTGTGCTTATTGCACAACAGCTTAACAGTATGACACATGGGCCCGTTAGAAGTCACTGATACTAACATATATTTTGGAATTAATTGGGCCTATGATACTTAATTTGTCCGGCAGTAGAAAAATAATGGAGTTTTTTTTGTGTGTGTTTAGTGTTGAGATGTGTTTTGTCTTTTTTTTAATTACATACTTTATCAGAACCTGCTGTTGTAGAGAGTTTGATAAAAGCGCAATTCAAAGTCTAACAGGTTTGAAATAAGCATTACACATTGCACATTTTAAAGAAACCATTCCCTTTGAGGCTGGTAGAAAAGTAGCAGAGAACTGACTGAAGTATGAACGTGCACCACATGTTGGTGGTCTGGTGAGGCAGGCCCAGCAGAACCTCTGTCTGCACCGTACCATGCATAACAAGTGCACATTTTGCAAACACCATTCTGTTTGTGGCTGGTGGAAAACATAGCAGAAGGTCTATATTTAGTCATGAGTATCCATAAGGTTGTGGCTCGCATGGATGTTCGAATGCACCTGTCTGCAGTCTGGTGAGGCAGGCCCAGCAGAACCTCTGTCTGCACTTTGTGCAAATCATCATGTTACAACCACCGTTTTTCTGCAACACAAACACAACAACATACGTTTAAGCAAAGGCAGCTGTCTTAAAAAGTCTGAAGTTTACATTTTAAATAAAGATGTATACATACCTCTATCCTGCAGAAGCAGTGTGGACAGTGTTTGCTGTTGAAAGTGATCCAGTCTTCACTCAGATATTCAGCCACAGTGTCAAGCAAACCACTGCGGCCGTACCTGCTCTCCAGGAGCCGCTTCCTCTCCTTACTGCCACTCTCATAGTCGTTCCACAAGGCCTTGATCCCCTCTGAGAAACAGACAAATATCACTGCTTTGGAAAGCTGTACCCAGGCAAAGGACGGCATTTAAAGGTTGTTACAGTGGGCCTGTTCTGGACAGCTGTGTTAGTATATCCAGAAGTCCATGCAGGTTTCCCTCTGACCTCTTAATGATATTATAATTATACCAGCTGATTGTGACCTGCTCATCATCAGTAACATGCTGCTCATTGGCTCACTGACTCCAGGGTTAACTTGTAAGGGACAGAAAGAAGATTCTGATAGATTTCTGCAAAACGTTTTTGTGACATATGGACATTGACAGATATATACCTTTTTTTAAATGTTCTTTAAAAATGAACACGGTTAAGTACAGGGGTTAATATTCCCCTGACTCCGGCACATGTAAGTGCAAATTACTTCTTGTTTCAGACTTTTTCTTGTTCTAGAAATGATACCCACAAACATGTCGTTATGTCTTTCTGTAACTTGTAAAAGTATCAAATTCCCCGATTTACAATTTCCAGTTCTGAAGATAAGTTAAAGTTTTTTTGAAACACAAAATATCAACAAGTGATGCACAGACACGCAACGGGGTTTCCTTGTGTACCTTGTGTCTGTGGCAGGGCTGCTTTAAGGTGCGAGTGTTCTTCTCTTATCTCTTTCTTTATGATCCTCTGCTCCTGACAGTCCTTAGTTCCATGATAGGTCTTTTTGCAGGCGACACAGAAGGCAAAGCCGCAAACTGAGCACATCGCCGCCCTGCTGGACTTATCCAGAATGACGGCTGCAGCGCAGGTACGCCGAGGACAGTACACCACATCTAAGACGATTGATGATACAAAGGTTATCTATTAGTTGGCTTGAGCATAATTGTTAAGAATGAAATGAGTGTTATATAATAAAAATATTTGAATTCAAGCAGTTCAAAATCAATTGAATTTCTTACAAAGAAGAACTGAAGTTTTGTCCAGTTTATTAGAATGAATAAAGGCTTTCAATACATGCTC